GATTTTTTTGGCCTTCTTTAGGATGACATTTGATGGACCCATGCCTTGGTGATCTTGATTACTTGGGCTTTGCTCCTAAAATAGAGAAATAAAGTAAATATTGTAATCAAATCTAATTATAGTGCATTATTTTATCACTTCCTATTGTCATATTAACATTTACCTTTGGCAGAGTTGCTTCAATTTCAGACATCACCCTGGCTCTGATGTCTGACACCTTGTCACTGCTGATGTAGCCGGCTTTGAATCTGAGGTCCATAAAGCAGGTCATGTCCAGAAGTTCTTGAGTTGCTGGGTTGTCATACTTACACTGTAAATAGGTTGCTGTAAATTTTACAGTAACTTACTTGCAGCTGGATGCCAGTAATTTACTGTAAAAATGTTTACCGATCAGCCTGTGATGATGATGGCCAGGTGCTCCTCGCTTGTTTCCAGGGCGACGCTGATGAAGCTTCGGGACGCTCGTCACAGGTGTCAACAGACTGAGGGTATTTGTTGTTTACAAATCTGTACATGTATTTATGTTTATTCTTTCAGCTGTTTTTCCTACCATGTATATTTTGAAGAATTTACATTATTTGTATTACATTACATATCTGACTGTATTTTAATGAAGCTGAATCATGTTAGGGTTACAAATGTAAATAATTTGTGAATTAGCATCACTTACTTTACAATAGATAAACAGTAGGGCTGCATGACACTGGGAAAATATGCATATGTAATATTGTTGTTGAGTATTGCGATAACGATACTTCTTGCAATATATAACATTTCCCTAGAGAAATGCTTTTTTTTATCATTTATATATGTAATGATCATACTAAAATAAACAGGTAACAGATATTCTTCTGATCTAATTAAATCTAATTCAGGCTAAAAGAAACTGTCAAGGTGCAAGCATTTAGACTTTAAAACACTATGGATGACTGAAAACCTTGGCAGATATTTTAATTTCTGATTTGCTGTTACCATAGACCTGCAAACACAAAACATGTAACATGTACATGTATTCACATGAGCATCTTGAAACAAGAGCATCTTTTAAACAAAATATTCCCTTGTCTTGCCTGTTTTATATTAAAAAAAAACTATTAAACAAAGTGTACAGGCCTTAAATAAATTAGTATGTAGTGGAAATACTAACATCTTGTCAACATCCACAAGAATAAAATAATTAAGTATTAAAATGTAAACATTAAGTAATAACATGTAAACCTATATTTTGGCGCAATGCCATATGTGCTTAACTGTGAAAGCAATTTTATTCCAGGTTTTTTGCCAGGAAAACTAACATATTGACTTTGGTAGGTTTTAAACATGTGCGTTGGCATGTCACAACATTTCCTGATGTACTAAAAAAGTCTCTCTGAAAGTGAACTACTTGCAGGTATACAGAGATACTTCCTGGCTAGTTTACTCAGGTGTGGGAAGTTGACCTGATGGAGTTTTTTCACCAAGTGAGAGGGTCCATCTCACTGTCTATGGTGGGAAACACCAAGTATCTGTTCAGTTCAGCCTCCACAGTGTGCGATGGTAGCACAGATGATGGAGCTGGGGATGTCTTGAAGAAACTGCCCAGGGATTTTTTTGGCCTTCTTTAGGATGACATTTGATGGACCCATGCCTTGGTGATCTTGATTACTTGGGCTTTGCTCCTAAAATAGAGAAATAAAGTAAATATTGTAATCAAATCTAATTATAGTGCATTATTTTATCACTTCCTATTGAACATTTAACATTTACCTTTGGCAGAGTTGCTTCAATTTCAGACATCACCCTGGCTCTGATGTCTGACCACTGCTGATTGCTGATGTAGCCGGCTTTGAATCTGAGGTCCATAAAGCAGGTCATGTCCAGAAGTTCTTGAGTTGCTGGGTTGTCATACTTACACTGTAAATAGGTTGCTGTAAATTTTACAGTAACTTACTTGCAGCTGGATGCCAGTAATTTACTGTAAAAATGTTTACAGTATTAGTACTGTAATTGCATTTACAGTACATGTCTTTACTGTATTTTATTTACAGTATTATTACCATATTTTCATTTACAGTATCAGTACTGTAATTGCATTTACAGTACAATATGTCTTTACTGTATTTTATTTACAGTATTATTACCGTATTTTCATTTACAGTATCAGTACTGTAGAGTTTATTTTCATTTAGTTTAAAAAAAAAAATGTACCTGTAAAAAACAGGTACCCCCCCCACAATAACTCACGAGCTTTAGTTCTGATCATATTATTTTTAATTGTTGAACATTTTCTTTTTAAAAGTACAAATTACAAATCTTGACCTCAGATGCACTAGCTTAAAAAAAGGGTATCACCACAGTCCCCTGGGGACTTTGTATCATGGAAAAACATACACATACTGAAAAGCAAAAATTGGCAAGTACACTACCAGTCAAAAGTTTTTGAACAGTAAGATTTTTAATGTTTTTAAAGTCTCTTCTGCTCACCAAGCCTGCATTTATTTGATCCAAAATACAGCAAAAGCAGTAATATTGTGATATTTTACTACTTAAAATAACTGCATTCTATTTGAATATATGATAAAATGTAATTTATTCCTGTGATCAAAGCTGAATTTTCAGCATCATCACTCCAGTCTTCAGTGTCACATGATCCTTCAGAAATCATTCTGATATGCTGATAAACATTTTTGAATATTATTATCAATATTTAAAACAGTTGAGTACATTTTTTTTTCAGGATTCTTTGATGAATAGAAAGATGTAAAGATCAGCATTTATCTGAAATAAAAAGCTTTTGTAACATTATACACTATACCATTCAAAAGCTTGGAGTCAGTATATTTTTTTTTCTTTGGGAAAGAAATGATAGAAATTACTACTTTTATTTAGCAAGGGTGCTTTAAATTGATCAAAAGTGACGATAAAGACATTTAGAATGTTACAAAAGATTCATATTTCAGATAAATCCTGTTCTTCTGAACTTTCTATTTATCAAAGAAACCCTGTTAGCACCGCTACGAGGCAATCACAAGACTCCAATACACCTCCGATGCAGACGACATGACCACAAACTTTAAAATAAAATACAAAAGATGTTCTTAACAGTGGTGTTTCTTCACTCAGCTTTCCTCAGTAGGTTGTCAGCTCGCTGTTTCAAAATGACACGATGAATAATGTTAGTTTGCTGTTAACAAGTGAAAACATCTTAAAATATCACAGTTTTGCATGAAACAGAAATAATACTAACCTTTTCGTCGAGTTAAGGGTGCATTTCTCTTTTGTCCTTTTACACCCACTTCCACCAAACAGTCAAAAAAGAAATCTCCCTTGCCATTGGTTAGTTTTTCGCGGGCAAGTTCACTACTGTAAATTGATTTACAGTAGTGAGGAAATACAGTAGTGACCGTATATTTTCCCATAATCCTTTGCGGTTTACAGTAAAATACTGTATACACATTTTACAGTATCTTACTGTACATATTACAGTATAATACTGTTCAAATTACAAAAATCAGTTACAGCGTAGTGTTCATGTAGTCTAGAAACTTCATCTTTATGGACTTTGTTAAAACACCGTCTTCTTCCTTTGCAGCAAGAACTGAGCTGTTCATCAAGTGAAGTACAGGTTTCACATACGAAACACTTACATAACTTTCACCTGACAGAGTATCTGTAAATTCTTGCAGAGGCTGCCATGCCTGGTTTATAGACTCTAGTACATCTAGGTTCTGCCAAGAAGGAACCAAATGTCTTGACTTTCTGTCTGCTGACAGGACGTTGCTTATGGCCCGCTGCTGCTCCAGAACTCTCTGAATCATTTTCTGTCTCGAACCCCACCTTGTAGGGCATTCTGTGATGAGGGAGTGCTCTGGGAGGTTGTGCTCTTTTTGTGCTTTTTTTCAGGGCAATCTTCTCCTTCCAGCTGTGGGAGAAATGTCCCACTAACTTTTTGCAAAGACCAACAGCTTGAGTAATGCGCTCATCGCCTTTAACAGCATTTTCTGAAGAGTGAAGAAAAAACAAAACAAGGACATACATGGTTAAATCACATTGCAATATTATAATTACAGTTTTATATAACAGCATTTTAAATAGAAAACATTCAGCTACAATTTGCAAGCCTCTGTGGGTTATATTTCATAAATACATTGTTAAATATTACAATATCCAAAATCATGTCTATACTACATGCAACTATACAAACAACTGTACCTTTTTCTGTTACGTCTAATAGACGTTCTCAAGCTAACTTAACTAGCATGTTGCTAGCATGATTAGCAAGTGACTAATATGTTGCTAGCATGTTTCCAGCATGATTAACAAGTGACTAGCATGTCGCTAGCGTGTTTCCAGCGTGATTACCTAACTATGAATAATGTTTAAAGGTAATCAGTGAATACTGTTCTTGGTTGTTGCTCATTGTGG